ATTAAATCCTCTTGTCTACTCCAACAAACAAGGCAATCCACATTTATTAACTGCTATTTGCAAACTGATTTCTGTGCTTTAGAACTAGAGAAAAAGTATTTTTTAAAACGATTACTTGTAATATTTTGTGTTTAATTGGAAATTTGCAGCCAGTGTGGCTAATGCTTTGTTGCTAACTGGTACATATGTTTTCTGGTGTACACAAAAGGATGCAGACGGATTAAATTGCATTGCAGTGCAGACTTCAGTCAGGAAAAAAAACAGAGTTTTCATACATGCAACACAATCTTGTTCATTTGCACAGATCCTACCTGCTCTATGTGTTGTTTACTGTAATGTATCATATTGTACCATTTCTAAGGTAAAAATAAAGTTCTTTTTCATATAAACACGACTTTTGTTTTTGTCTTTATGTTGACATTTTGTTTTCATTTGCTTGAGGGGGGGACAGACAATCAAAACATTTAATAAAGCTTTGACTGTATTATTTTAAACTTTTTGTTTTCGGTTCATATTAAGCCGCTGTACCAGCAAAAATAGGTTGTAATTTATTTAAAAATGATGGTAATTTTATCTGAAGTGTTTCAGATAAAAATATGAATTTTTGTTGCTCTTTAAGCAACATCAACAGATTCCATACAGGAAAGTTATTTTAACCACAACTCTTTATTTTGTGTGAAGGAATTAACCAAAAACACAAAGATGCTCTTAAAGATATTATGGTTCTACAATTGATTAAAACTGCATAGCTCAAGTCTGTTCAATCTAAAATTAGCCGTTTATTAGCAAGCTAAAAATTAGCTTAGCTTGCTAATGTTGCTGATTTTATTATTAAAATCAGGGGAAAATAAAATATGAATATATCATAACTGTTTTAGTTGTTTTAACACATAAACAAACACAAAACACCCAAGAAACAAACATTTTCTTAATCACATTATGTTAGTTGATTGGGACATGCTAGCATGTTAGCCACTCATTGTAATACTTCTAATCGAAAACTATCCAAAAATTATACCAATAAAATGTAAAATAGGAATAGAAAAGCTTGTATCATCGCAGTATTTTGCTTGTTTCATGTTTTTGTTTTGTTGTTTATGTTTTAGCGAGCAAACAGAAATGAGCTAACAGTAGAACGTTAAAGTAAATTCAAATAGACGTTAAAGAAAATCCAAAATTTACACAATTTTGTTCTATTTTTGTTTTATAGATGTGTTAGCTTATTTGTTTTTCATTTTATGGTGCTAATTGAGTGAATTTTATGTGAAAACGTGTTCCTTGTAAAATTTAACTTCTTAGGCTGTAAGACTCGAGAGCAATTTAGAGATCAAATTAAAAGTAGAGTTGTTTTTTTTTGGACTGTGGAAGGAAAATGGGGAACTTAGAGAAATCCTAGTTCTAACTATGAATATTCGTAGAAAGATATAAAAAGACTGGAGAAGGAAAAACCAGAAGAAACCAAAAGAAAACCTAAAAACCCAGACAGCTCACAGATGTTTTGTGGCAGCAAAGAATCCTGCACTGTGTAATTTTAATCCCTATTATTGTCATAAATTTGTCGAAATCGTGTAATTTCAAACGTATAATATGCTGCTACAGGACAGAATGAAACACTGGCCTTTGTCTTGACTTTATCTCCTCGTCTTTTTCCGTCTTTTCTTCTCTTCAACATATCGCAGACACATAAAACCGTCAAACTGATTACAGGCTCCATTTTTCTGGAAGCCTCCAGACTGCGGCCTGAAGCCCCTGAGGAGGAAAGACGAGACAGACAAACACGTCTCCAGATACGCCAGCATGAAGAGCAGAAGATCTACGAGCAGAAGAAATCCAGGCAGAAAACAGATTTTATTCAAGTCGGTTTGGTTTATGAGCAACAGGAACATAACTGAGTCATTTATACATGAGTCAGTGACGGGAAGCATGACTGATGTTTCATTAAATTCTTAAATTAAACTGTGAATATATAGAAAAGAATGAAACAAACAAATATTTTATCATTGTTAACTGAACCTGTCTGTACAGATATCAATGGCACAACAACAACAAAAACTGTTATATAACAAATACAGACACAGACTTGAGTTTCAGTGAAAATTTACGTTTTCAAGTTGAATATTTTTTTTGATACGTGTCTAAAATGTTAAATGTTCAGTTTGAGGGCTGTCAAAAAGCAAAGAAAGAAAGAGGAAAAAAGTGAGGTATAATTCTTTAAATGTTTGTTCATTTACTAGAATTTAGGATTATGAAATTTTTCCCCAAATACCAAACAAAAAATTACATAAAACTCTCAATAATTTGTATCATTCTTGTCTAAACTTTTCATTCCAGTTGAATCAAAAAGATTTCTTTCAGGAAACAGGCTGCAATACTCACTTTCCTCCACTAGATGGTGATAAGTCGCTAAAGATTCTTAAGAAGAGCCTTGAATTCACGATCCATAACCAACAATGAAATTAAGAAAGTCTGTTTAGGTCTCATATATAGATATATTTGAACTAAACACGGGAAGAGGTAATTTTGGTGATGATGATGATGATGATGATGATGATGATGATGATGATGATGAAGCCTTCCAACCTGAAAGACTTGGAGTTCATCACCAAACATATAATAATACCAGAGAAGAAGAGTTATCAGCATAATTTACATGGGATTTTTAATTAATTGTTACAAAAGAGTTACTTCATAATGTTTTTCAGTCAGAATCTTAATAATCATCGCAATTTACTTCCATTTGTGTTTATTTCAGACAACAAAAGTAATTTAAATATCGGAAAGAAAATCTAGCAGTTCCTAAGCAATTTGGTATTTGTTACTTTTGGCTAACTGAAGCTACTTAGCAGCGTGAAGCCAACCCAGTAAAAAGATTATATCAGCTGTTTCAAGTCACAGCATTGGCATAAACAGCTAATTTTAGAATCAGTTTTAAGAAGTAACAAGCATTGGTTCTGAGTCCATTCTCTGAGATACAGCGAAGACTTCCTCTGGATCTAGAGAAACGTGATAGAAGGCTGACTTTGTAACCATCTTTATGTGACTCTGAAGGTTCAGGTCAGAATCTATCAATAAACCCAGATTTTATGTCACTAATGCAACAAAACAAAAAACCTTTTAATGAGACGACATTTTCCAGACTTCACTTCCATCTGGTGACGTCTGGACATGTCCTGTGGGGGACAATTACCCCCCACAGGGGGACAATTAACCCCACAGGACATGTTGTTGTTTTCATTGTGTAACAAATGCCTGCTGGTTCAAGGTTTACGTGCCAGTGCAACATTATCACCACCCAAAGTTTCTCTGCAGAATATTCTGTTCACAGATATGATTGGTGTCATTAAGTGAACCCATCAGTGGTTGTTCATGCTGGGACTTGAGCATCATGACTCCTCTGCTCTTCCTCTGAATAATGAGTTTCATAAAAACTAATATTACGTTACAGTTTCACTGCAGTGGCCAAATACTCTGGACTTTGGTCTAAAATGGAGTGTTGGAGTCGAATGTTAGCATTAGATTTCTCTAGCTACCATGCTGAAGTAGCACGTTAGCATTAGCTTCCACAAAATATTATTGGCATTTGGCAGAAGTGTAGCACTAAAAACAGTGAAGCAATTTAGCATTAAGTTTAGCTAAACACCATGTTGGTGTAGCATTTTAGCTTTAGTGTAACCAGTGTTTATGACCAGTGCTGCAGGGTTAGCAGAGCTAACTTTGTAGTTAGCAGAGCTAACTTTGTAGTTAGCGGTGGTCACCTCTGCTAATTGCCTTCAAAAGTCACTTATTTCTATGTAATCCAGTGGAACCAGTGGATCACTGGATTTGGTGGATTATGGTTAACTGGATCCTGATCTTCACCAGTTTGTCCTGTAAAATTTCTCAATGTTAGATTTGTTTTACATAAACTGCAACAATCAGCATTTGTCTGTATTTAGGTGGATATTTAGTGGGAGTCGTCATTTTGTTTATTTACAATTATAATTCTGGTAACTGTCTCAGTAAATAAAGATGCTAGTATTGTTTTGGTCGTCCATGTTGTGTTTAATCTGTGTAAAATATAAATTTATAACCCATAATCAACACTGTGGCAGAAACTGTACGTGTTAAAAACCTCGACACACCCGACAGCGTCTGTAATAAACACCCAGCTGCGGTTCACCACAAGACTTTGGCTTTAGTCACATTTGTGTTTATACAATAATCACAACTCAGCAAATCTTTAACAGAAACCTTTATTCACTTCCAACAGGGTTAAAAATTACAATCCGGAAAAGATTGACATGCAAACATAGATTTGTTTGTTGCTTAACATAAAAGTAATTCATAGAAAAATAAAAAAAAGCTGCTTGACGGAAAAACACCGCAAGTCTAAAGAACATTAAAAACAGGATCAAGGACATATATATATATAACACATATATAATGTAAACATTATATATGTGTGTAAAAAACATATATTTTGATTCCATATAGGAAGGATTGGACATAAAATGCTATTTATTTCCAATGCATTATTTTAATGGGAGAAATTACATTTTACCTACTAAAACACAGCAAACATGTAAAACTTTAAATAAATTTGTTGTTGGTTTTAATGCTAAACTTAAAAAGTGCTCTGTAGGTTTGCCTTAATAAAAGCAATTTTGCTCATTTTCTGTGTCAAGAAAGAAAAAAAAATAGAACAATTCAATAAAAATCAGGATTTAAGTCACTTTTAAAATTATTAAACAAATAAAATAGATTTGGTAAAAGTCAAAATGCAAAAGGTTATTTAACCACAAACATTTGTGTCTTAGCCAATATTTCTGTTGCAAGATAAAGTCAGATTTACGACCATACTAAGAAAAACATTTTTAAATTTAATTATGGGAACAAATAATAAAATCACGAGAATGAAGTCAAAACATTTTGTGAATAAAGTCACAATAATAGAACAAAGTCATATTTTTTTTAAAATAAGTCAAAATAATAAAATAAATTTACAATAAAATGAATTTATTCTTGTAAAACTACGACTTTATTATAGTACGGTTTTATAAGTCCTTATTTTCTTTTATTATTATTATTATTATAGTGGTCCCAATACGCCGACATAGTCACAATATTTCATTTTGTCCTAAATAAAAATAGAATCCAAACTTGTATCAATCTTGAACTAAATTCAGGGGCCACACAGAATCATTGCAGGGGCCATGAGTGGCCCGCGCCCCACACTTTGAGCTCCCCTGAGCTTCAGATATCTCCCCTCATTTCCGTAGCTCTCAGTGACGTCGGAAGCACGTCCGGGGTGGTGACGTCAGCGGTCACGCCGTCGCGGGCTCCGGCGTCGTCTCCCGGACCATGATGACCGGCCCGGCCGTGTTGGCCGTGTCCGGCTCCGGCGCCAGCGTGCTGCCGTCTCCCGAGGTGAACGTCAGCGAATCCGTGGTCACGACAAGCAAGGGCGGGACGGTGACGGCGGGCGTCACGTCCACAACTTCTTCTTCTACTTCTTCTTCTTCCTCCTCTTCCTCGCCCTCCTCCTCCGAAGACTCCTCGGAGGATTCCTCGGAGTCTTCGGAAAGCTCCGCCAGGTATCGCTGCGGCTGGTTCTTGTCCGGGATGTCGGCGTCTTGCCTGTGGCGAATCTGCGGAGAAGAAATGAAACGAAGCAACAAGAATCGTTTTACTGCTCTGGTATCTGACGTCATGCCCTTTAAACGAACCGGACGATATTTAGAGGGAAAGAAAGTCGATTATAATCGAAGACTTTGGTGGAAAGTGGAGAACAACCACACTTTATGTACATATTTTTGTAAAGTTTTGGCATTACTAATGATTAAATTAAAAATCAGTAAAATGTCACTTTTTTAAATTATGCAATTAATCGATTAATCATCAGAATAATTGATAGATTATTTGATGGTTTGTGTTTTTTCAGTACATAAAAACACCAAATTATGTCATTGTACTTAATGGGCTACAAAATGGGGCCTGCGGACCCTTCAGGCCAGATGGCGCCAAAAGGCCTCAGAAACCTGGAGGCAAGGTAAGAAAAAAATGCAAAACTAAAAACAATTTAGCTCATAAATTTATCAGCCATTTTTAAATGTATTCTTTTAATCATAAATTATAACCTTTATTTCAATCATTATTAGAAAATATCAGTTAAAACAACTTATTGAAATGTTATTTTCCACGCTCATCTTTCTAATTAATCAAAGATGGCCGACTAAAATCAAACTTCGAAGATGGGATTTATGCTAAACTAATGTAGTAAAAGTGAGAAAAATATTTTTTCTTTCCATATTTTGTTGAATTAAGTGTTTGTAAAGGAAGTTAATGCTGTTTTGGGGAGTCGTGACATGGAAAACTCTGGGCACCCTGGTCCAGTCAAAGCCCAGATGAAATGTTACAGAGGTAAGAAAATGAAGCAAAGCAACATTAGATAGAAGAGTTGGTTTAAAAAATCCTCCAAAATTTCATGAAATGCTTTTTTCCGTTCTGCCTCCTTCTTTATGTAATTAAGTGACAACATTGAGAAATTTATAGAATTTAAATAGATAAATAAATACAGATAGAATAAAAATAAAACATAGAAACACACCCATCCCTCAATAAGTGCATAAAATATGAAGAAAAATAATTTATGTGGTGGATTAAATCTGAAAAAATAAAAATAACTGAAATAGTAATAAATGATTATTTGTGTATTTCAGTGTTTTTGTTCTTACTGGTTTCGCGTCCATCGTCGTCGTGAGAAGAACAACGAGGAGAACGACGTTCAGCAGCCCCATCTCTGGTTGTTTACTGTCTCTGTAAGAAACATCAAAAATCACATTTACACTGAAGACATGAGAAAATTCACACAGGTCACTTTAACACTGCAAAAACATAAAATCCACCAACTTTTGAGTCCAGTTGAAATATCTCAGTTCACTTGAAATGAGACAAAACTAACTTACAGTAACTTTTCTGCAAATTATCGGCGCTTAAGTAAATAATCCCTTGATATTGATAAAAAGTAAAACAAATTATTTCATTTTTGACATGAAAAAACAATGTGTCCTGCTTTCTTTCGTAGTTTTGTTTCATTTCAGTGTATTTTACTCTGAAATCTACAAAATATTTGGTCAAATTTTGCAGTAAAATTTGATTACTTTCTCTAAACTTTGCCAAAACTCCATGAATATATAAACAAAGCCTTATTTATGCTAAAGTAGATCAGGAATCACGCAGCTCCTCACCTGTTGTGTTAAATCCTGAGCCTGAATCTGAGCTTCCTGCCGGCGCTGCTTCCTTTATCTGGGCCGGGCTCAGCGGGGGGGCGGGTTCTGGTCGGGTCGGGCCGTGATGGACGGCGGACGTGGGGCGGCGGTTGTGTAAGATCGGTTTTCCCTGGTCTGAGGTGCAGAGGAGGAGCAGAGCGGGAGGTTTACCACACGGCCCAGAATAACCAGCAGAATCTCTGTGTCGAGTCTTTTACTGTGAAATCAAATCGACAGGAAATGCTGCTAAACACGCCGAACACCTTTTAAAATTCAGACATGTTGAATTTATCCACCTGTTTTAAAATGTACATCAAATAGCAGTTTTGTCTTTTCAGACATTCACCAAACTTAACCGAGAACATAGAAGAATTAGAAAGGAAATGGATTATTAATTAAAGGTGACATTCTGTGCTTCCTTAAACATCTTTGGATCCGTCCGTGGCCTATACAAAACCTATTCATTGCATCCTCTTTTTTTGCACAGTCATTCTTAGGTAATGAGACTTTAGCTGTTTTTGTTGCGTCTTGTCACTTTAAATCCAAAATGGCTTCAAACAGATGCGCAATCATAAAACCGTGCATGTTTGAAAAGCAGACGTGGAGCCTCCTGCACAATCAACAATAATCCACTAAGTGGTTTCTGGGTGGTAAGTCTATAATAAATCACTTGTCTCTTCCAGCAGCCATTGTACAGCAGATACAATGATAAAACCAGCTGACCAAACATGCTGGAGCTCTGCTTAGGTTGCTAGGTGAGGAGCAATGGGGGGGGGGGGAGGGGGGGGGGCTTAAAAAGCATTTAGAAACAGTTTTTTAAATGCCTGGGTTGTTTTTAGAAACAGTAGAAACCTAAATATCAGTATAAATTTGTGCAAAATATTAATTCTGATTGTTGGAAGAAGAAAAATTGGGTCAAAATTGGCATAATTATATCACCGTGTGACTTTAGTATTTAATAGATATGATGATTGTGTGACATAAAATGTTTTGGCGAAAACTAAAACACCTACCAGACTTTCTTTTTATAAAGTTAAAATTAATCGACTGCGTCTCAAACAGTTTTCTGCAGTTTTCTGCAGTTTTGTGGAGTTTGTGCAGTTTTGTGCAGTTTTGTGCAGTAGTGCAGTTTGTGCAGTTTTGTGCAGTATTGTGCAGTTTTGTGCAGTTTTGTGGAGTTTTGTGCAGTTTTGTGCAGTCGGTGGAATGCAGCATTTGAGACGGAGCGAAGCCACACTTTGATCCGACGTGTGACACCACCGTGTTACTTCACCATCCTGAATCTTTCCCCACCTCTTCCTCTCTGCCGCTGCTTGAGAAATTCCTGCGCAGACCTCATCGTGAATCATGAACGAGTCGGAGGACGGTTTCATTTCAGGGCCCAAACCAGCACAAAGAATGCAGAACCGAGGAACCATCCATAAAACCGACAGTAAACACAGCAGCCAGTGCGAACATGGACCGCAAACACCGACTCCTATACTTACAAATATAAATATGCCCCATACATTAAAAATAAAATTCTAATGATCAGTTGTCATCAAGTTAACAGTTGTAAAATTAAACTTAAACTGAACAGTGTTTATTTTTATTATTACAGTTAATAAAAAACATTCAAAACATGGAAGAATTGCACATGAAAACATGAAGTTAAATCTAATAATAATATAATGAAATAATATTATGAACGCATTGCTAACAATAATCCGATTGTTTCAAACAGCGACTGAAAAAAGTGGGAGGGGCTTGCGGTTGCTATGCTAACCGCCAAGCGCAGGATAAATAACTGATGAAAGAAAATCAGTTTTATAAACCAATTTATAAACCAAATTTATAAACCAAACTTTACATCTATAAAATAAAACAAAACCAAAAATTATTTTTTGGTTAATTAAAATCTATTAATATATATCATCAATATTGTAGATATTGACATTATTTCCATAAAACAAAATCCTTTATCTTGCTGATATTTGAATGTTTTTACCTTAGTGTTTCAATAGCTAATGCTATCTATGCTAAGCTAACTAGCATTGCTTCAGAAAGCTGCGGGTCTTTTTAGCATTATGTAAACTGACCGGCTAGCTAGTGCATTAATATGTTTTTGAATAATTAGCCTCCAATAAAAACACAGAAATTGGACTTTTTGTTATCATAATCCAAACCCTGAAACACAAAAACGTTTTTCATTTATGATGCAGGGACAGCAGCTCTATTTCAACCAAGTATTTTTACCTTTTTTGATGAAACTACAGAATGGATTCATAAATCAACTGATAACATAAGAACTTCCTCCTTGTGGCGAGTGCAGAACCGTTGCGTGCAGACGATTTGGATATGACATACAGCGGACCGACTTCCTGGTAATCCGGCCTCGGTTTCACAGCGGGACTCTGTGAACAAACACATCTGAGTCAAAATAACAAAAGACGAGAAGCTGCTGCATGACTGAGAATCCGCTGGTGGAAAAGTCCCAGTTCAGCTCAGTGATGAACATCACCGCCGTGTCTGTGGTCACGTTCAGGAAGCGCTCAAGTTATATTTAGGCAAGTAAACAGTGACTTGGAATGTGGCTAAAATTAAATATTTGTGCACAAGTGAAGTATTAAGAGTAATTTAGATAAAAGACAAGAAAAAATCAGGAAATTTATACCAAAGAAATTTAGATTTTTTACATTAATTATACATATTTACAATAAAAGGCTTCGGTGTTCTTTAATTTTGAAAGTTTAAATTAAAAATCACGTTTATTCTTATTTTTCTATCCATTTCTATCATTTCTTCATCTTTTCCACCAGTAAAAACATCCAGGAACCTTCAGAACAAGGCCGGTGGGTCCAGAGGCCATTAAAGCCACAGCGTAGACTGATGTTGAAGCTGATGGTCTTTGGATGCAACCGGGGTTGGGAGTAAATGCAATTCCATCACAATCATTTTTTCCTTTCCAGTTGAACTGGAGACCAGTGGAGTTTCATCACCATTGAGTCAAGCGGCGCCTCCAGCAACATGTCGTCCATCACAAATGTAAAGCTTGGATTCTGATGTTGTGCACTGATGCAGATATGGGGCGGAGCAAATTCACCTCTGAGTCACAGATCATCATCCTGGTCATTATTAGCTCCTCCTTTGCTTCACTCACAGCAGGATGTCTCTGTTGTCTGGTCATTTCTTCCTCTATTCAATCTAAAGTCTAAAACATGCAAAGTTTTGGACTTGAATACAGGAAGTGATGTCATAAGAGGAGTGCGGTTTATTTAATAAAGATGCCCAAATTTCTTCACCCGGATTGTTACAGGTGTGATTATCGCCACCAATCAGTCAGCACAGCACCAAATAGTTTTAAGTGTAAACAAGTCATCAAAAGGTAAACAGCATTAAATTATGATCACATGTTTTCCCGTGTCTCTGTGTAAACGAACGCGCCTGTTCAGGTCTCTGTGCCGCAGAGAGAGTACAGAAAATAACAGATTCTGGTAAAAAGTTCCCACTTTTTCTACCAGTTTGTTTTTATCAGTAAAACTGATTCATGTCAGTTTATGATTATTTTGAAAGCTGGATTGATGATCATTTTATTCAAGCAACATCCAGTTTATTACCTCGGAAACTGCATCGGATGCTAATACTGCATCGGATGTAATACTGCATCGGATGCTAATTCATTTGATGCTAATGCATCAGATGCTAATGCTAGCTTGTCGGTTTGAAATCAGTTCTATGAAAATGTGAACGAATTTATTAAAAACTTCATTTTCTTGATCTTTGGTAATATTGATTCAAAAGTTCCAGTTTCATTGGCAGATTATTTCACTCAATATATTAAAAATATCTTTATAAGTTAAATAGAACTAGTACTTTTTCATAAATATGATGATTTTTAACTTAAAACAGCCTCATATTTCTACTGGGAAAGTTATTTGTGACTTAATTTAGTCTTATTTTAAGTGTATTAAATTACTTGTGCTTCAACCTCCCTGGTAAGATTTAATGTCTGTTCTGGAAGAAAACTTTGCAACGTTTGTCTGATCTGCTGGTTTGTTTTTGCTCCTGCTGGGACTCGCAGCTTTCAAAAACAAGCAATGTGGTTTATGGAGGAATGTTTTCATTAATTTTAATGAGTCTGTTTGGGCCTGAAATCTTTAGTTACTTTAACTATGATAAACTGTTTCTCCAAACGAGGAACAGGTTTTAAGGGCAATCAGCAGAATCATTTTCTGTAAAAGATAAGATCTTTGTGGGATAATGGAAGCTGCAGATGATTTACTGACTGAAACATGAATATTCATGTTTCAGAACCTCAAACTGCATCAGAAAACGTTTGGCTCCAGGTTTTATCTAAACAGCATTACAGCGATTAAAAGGTTTGGAAAATATCTGGATATTTTAACTGATCATCTTCCTGATTCGACTTGTTATCCTCACAGAAACAAAACCTGAGGAGATTTAAACAAACTTATCTAATTTCTGCCAAATTAAATAAATCATGCCTCATTTTTATTTGAATAAAACACTTTTATAAATACTTAAAGTAAATTCTCCAGTGCAATAGTCTAGAATATCATTAACTTACTGCATATATATTTACTATGTCTATTTATAAATGTCCCAATTTCACACTAAATATTTCGCTAACTGTTTAACTTGCTAACTAAATAATTTGGAGGTAAATATTCAGATTGGCGCTAAATGTTTCTTTTGCTCCTGTATGTATATTTTCTTAAATCAACAGTGTTGTGCCTTTTGCATGAAGAATGCTGCAGATAATTCATGTTTTTATTGTGACATTTAAGTTGCACAGAGTTAAATGTCTCTGCAAAATGATAGGAGGAATGATTTTAACTTTGAACGTTTTTATTTAACACAAAGGAAAAGCAATGTGTTATTTTAGCTTCTGTAAACACATTCAGGTAAAAGTAATATTTAATTTCTTTTGGCTAAAATCAAGTTCCAGGTTAGGAATGCGTTTTCTGACATCTAGTGGTGACAAAAAGTATTGCTCCATTTTCAGAAACA